AGATAGATAACTTTCGATTTTTATTGTACATAAATAAGAAAACATGATAAATTCTAAACCCAATTTTAAAATATAATTTTTTTGGGTTAGTGTAGATGTATTTGCAAATAGATATTGAATAATTAAATAAAAATTTAATAATTAACTTATTTTTAACGTGTCAACAAAACTTTTTTTAATGGTGTAATTTATAAAATAAAACATATGTTATGTATTTTTAGTTTAAATCATCATTAATTAATTAATATAATAATCATATAAAATGAAAAGTAAAAAAAACAAAAAAAGGAAAAAGATAAACCATAGTAACGAAAATCGTAATTTACTCAATGATCTAATAAAACAAAACAAAAAATTAACCAAACTTTTAACTAGAGTTAGTCTCAGGGACCAAAGAATGAAACAAAATAGCAACTAAAATGACGAGAACTTTATTTAGTTTAAAAGATGGACTAAATAGTGAATGGCAACCAGAAGAAAGAAAAATGTAATTTACTCTTATATATATTTATAAATTACATGTTTGTATTGGATGATAATTGGTAAGGGTGTGTAGAAAATCAACCGATCCAATTAGAACTGACTGGTCCAATTAGAACGGACTGACGATAATTGGATCAGATCAGATTGAAATTTTCAACAAACAATTTGGATCGGTCGGTTCTCGGATAACAATCTAAAACCAATGTGATAACCAAGTATTTGATTATAAATGTTTATGGTTGGTTTGAATATTGATGGTAAGTTGAGGGGCTTAATTGATTTATGTAACTGAATGTTTTTTAAAACTTTCCACCGCCTCACTTTTTAATATGATTATTTTATGAGATAACAATTTTTATGTCATGAGGTTATGTAAGGATAATTTTGGGAGTATCTACTTTTAAAAAGTAAAAAAGAGAGGAAAAAAAAACTTTTGGGTGTTTTTTGAACCTAGAAAACAGAAACCGAAAGAAAAAGAAAAAGAAAAAAAAAGAAAAAGAAAGTTGATTATGTGAATATTGTTTGGTTACTTGTTGCTAATTTCATCATTTCATTGTGATTAAATTGAGTTT